ATTAAAACAAAATGTTATGTAATCCTAGAAAAAAATCGAATTTGTATTTGTAAATCTTAATTAAAACTAATTTGAAATGAGTAAAAAATTGTTCATGAGTATTACGACACCACTGGTTTGGATCTTCAAGACCAATATAGGTAGCAAACTGAGAGCACAATACAAGGCTAAGTGACTTCATCGATTTTAAATTTGCGTGTTGACTAGTTTACTTTTAACATTACTTCAAAGTTAATAATACTGCAAACTAAAATGAGGATGTTCCAAATCGCAGTAAATATTCCTTTCATGTAATCATAAGTTTAGCTGAGGAAATAAAAATATACAAAATTGCCCAAAAATATACAATAGGAAATAAAAATATACAAAATTGCCCAAAAATATACAATGGAAGCAAATTTTTGACAAAACTATTGATTTTTTCAGTAAATTTAGTTGTTTACTGGTTATAATAATGCAGTTCTTGTTTAGTATATTTTTCCAGTAGAAGCCTCTACCATAGACTTTTCTAAGTAAGGAGTGTTTCTTTTTTATAAACCTTGAAAAAATCTCGCCCCTGAAGACATTTTTAGAAATAATAAATTAATAAATTTTCAAAAAACATTTTTTATTTCAGTAACTGTTTAGACGTTTGTAATATGACACAAAGTTTGGAATAAATAGTTTTTAAAATTATAAATAACATATACTACTACTTTTTTATTTAAAAAAAATACATGAACGGTTTGTTCAACTCTTAAAGAAGTTTTTGAATTTTTTTTTTTCAAATTTAATTAATAACTCATGTAAAATTGTAAAAAAAGCTGAAAATAAATTGTTTTTCTCATTTTGACAAAGATTAGACAATATTCAGAAACAATATGTACAATTGTTCCTTTAATTCTTTTGTAAAACTTTGATCAATCGGCCCGAGAAAACGGTTTGATGGATCGATTTGAAAATTTACAGGTATATGAAGGGTACATTAAGCTGTAAAAACACCTAAAAACATTAGTCTCCTCATCAATATTAGTGAACATGCGGTATATTTACTAAAACAACGCAAACAGTTACTTTTCTTTAAATCAATGTTGAGGGTCAAAAAAATTTTTTTCAAAAAGTTATAATAGAATCTTGTAAAACATTTATTCTAGTTTTTGACACTACCCTTATATTCTCTGTGTGGTCATTGGTTGCTGAGATATCGATGATCAAATACAAAAGGATCCTTTTTCATTTAAATTCAGATGTCTCAGCGACAAATTAACCTAAAGATAATATGAAAAAAGCATATTAAAGATGAATGAACAGGCGATCCGGCCTATGCATTGACTTAATTAAGAAAAAATTGCCCATGTCCGTGGACCAAAAGTAAAAACAAAAAAATTTACTTACGATTCCGTAATAACCGTAGCACAGAAAAAATAAATTGCCATAAGATCTCAACACTAGAAACTTAAAGCTTCCAAATTGTTTTTTTAAAATCTAGATACGACAATTTTTAGATGAATTACACCCTTTCAAAAATCACCAAAAAACTTAGGAAAAATTTTTGTTCCTTTAATTTTTTGGAGTAGTGTAGTAGGGTATGAAAAAACTGTAATAATGGTGCATCTTGTAGAACAAGCGACAGATGGAACGTTGGCTTCTGAAAACTGGAGTCTTAATATGGAAATATGTGATCTGGTGAACGAAACAGAAGACGGCCCCAGAGATGCCGTTAAAGCCATAAGGAAACGTCTCACTCAAAATGCCGGAAAAAACTACACAGTCGTGATGTATACTTTGACCGTTTTAGAAACATGTGTAAAAAATTGCGGAAAAAGGTTTCACGTTTTAATTTGCAACAAAGATTTTGTGACAGAATTGGTAACGTTTAAATCATTATCAAGATAATACGAATAATGAATAAATATTCTTAGGTAAAATTAATCGGCCCTAAAAACGACCCGCCTACAGCTGTCCAAGAAAAAGTTTTAAGTTTAATCCAATCGTGGGCAGACGCGTTCAGGAATCAACCGGAAATGTCGGGAGTAGTTTCGGTTTATCAAGATCTTCTAGCAAAAGGAATTGAATTTCCTGCAACTGATTTGGACTCAATGGCGCCTATTCATACTCCTCAAAGGGTAAATTTGGCAATAATAAAGTGACAATGGGACGATTTGGGGTACTTTTAGAGTGTGGAAACAGAAGTTCCAGAAGAAGTACCGATTCCTCAACATTCGTCACCTACACCACATCTTCCTAGTCCCACAGGATCTTTAAGTCCGGAACAAAGAGCCAAGTTGCAGTCGGAACTAGATGTCGTACAGAGTAATATGAACGTTTTGGGGGAAATGCTGAGCGAGATGAAACCTGGAAATGAACAACCCGACGAGCTGGAATTGCTTCAAGTCAGTTTATTATTTTTCGTAAAAATTCTCCATTTCTTTGACAGATTTTCTTCGAAAATCGAAATTCGAAATTTTTTGCGAAAAACTGTCATTTTTATATTAATGAATGTTAAGGAAAGAAATTGAGAATATGTCCTGTTTTTTTTCCAGGAGTTGCACGTAACTTGTCAAAGTATGCAAGAGAGGTTGGTGGATTTAATCAGTAAATTGTCCAACGACGAACTGACTGCTGAACTTTTACGCATTAACGACGATTTAAATAATTTATTCTTACGGTATAGTCGCTGGGAGAAGAATAGGGATAGTGGGAAACAATCGGCTTCTGCAGTTTTAGCTAAGGCCATACCACCCATTAATAAACCTCCCCTACAATCAGAAGACAGTCTTATAGACTTTGGTGATGACTTGCCTGAACAGCTTAGCAAATTAAGTAGGTTTTGATTGGTGTTAATTTTTCTTTGATAACGAGTGATTTTTAGGTACTGGTGCTAGTGCCTCAACTCAGTTGTCTTCAATCGAATCTGTGACCGCCAAAAATGCTTCCGGAAAAGGCGACGATGAATTTGACATGTTTGCCCAATCAAGAAACGTCTCTTATGAAAGTTCTAAAAGCAGGTAATGTACCAAACGTTTTTATCATGGATCAGTAAAAGTTTCAGCAATTTTTATCGCGTAAATATTTACGTGTCCATAAAAAATGTTTTTGTTTGGATAATCGCATTTCAAGGCAATTTTTTAGTGGCAGTACGTATAAGGACAATTTGGAGCCGGACCAGATACCTGGAGGGCTAAGCTCTGTGACTCAAGGAAAACATGCTGTAAGTTTCACACTGATTAAAGATAAATGGGGCATGATTGTAAATGCAACTATCACTGTTTAGTCGTTTATTGGTTGCATCTACACTTTTCTGTGATTTTATTTCCATGTAACTCGCTTAGTAAGCTTTATGTGTTACCTACTACAGACTCCGCCAGATCTTGAATTTGACGAGATGGCACAGTGGCTTGGGCAAACAGTAAGTGCTTTATTGCTTTTGTGTAGTTTAGAAAAATGGTTTTGAAGTATTGTTATTTCGGTTTTGGATTGCCTTTACTAATTTTTTGTGTACAGACAGGTGGAGAAGAATCAGTAACAAGTAGCGAATTTGAGCGGTTTTTGGCCGAAAGAGCGGCAGCAGCGGAACAGTTGCCTACTGTCACAGGCAGTACCAATAGCACCAGTGCAAGGAATACGTCAGCGAAGGACGATAAAAGTCTTTTTGCTTTATAAATGTTTATTTTTATAATTTATAAGTATTAAGGATGCTCCATGAGTTTTATTTTTTGGAAGGAAGATAAGTGGATTTTATTTTTTGGAATACCAAATGTGTTTTTATTTTGGTGTGAGTTTCATGGAGTTTTTGGGCGAGTTTAATATCATTAGTGTTTTTAGATATTTACATACAAATATCATAATTGTTACACTTGTACTTATAAGTACATGTAAATAAAATGTTTTTAATTTCATATAAAATTTCCAAAATTTTTGCAGTTGTAATTTTTTCTTGAGAGAGGAGTTGATATGAGTTTAATTTGTAAATAATGTAATTCACATTTATTTAAATGTATTTTATTTATTTGTGTTTCTAATAGATGTAGCGTATTTTTGTCGAAATTATAATTCATCGTGCGGAATGAATCACGCAGGAATTGTAGAATTTATGAGATTCGTAGCATTTTTATGATAAATGTATTTGTATACCAAAGATTTTTATTTTAAGATGCAATCTTGATTTGTTGTGTAAAGCTGAAATTTAGAGGAACATAAACTGCAGGATACTATATCAAACGTAAAAATAGTGCAATGCAACATAAAGCTTGACCGCTGTAGAATTTTTAACTCATTTTATTGTTGTTTTGTTCATAATTTTAAATAATGATTCCGTAAATCAAAAATTTTAATTTGTGAAAGTGCGATAACAAGAGTTAGTCCACAATTATAATCCATAACTAAAGGTTTATATGTTGTTATGTGTTTTATTTCATTTAAGTTTTAAATATGTATATTTTGAAATAAATGATGTGTTAATGTAATTTTCGTTTTATTTTTATTTCTTTTCAGGTGTTTGATCAATACGACGTAGCTATGGAAATTTTCTCAATGTCACTTGTGTAAAGACGGACAAGGAAATGGTGAAAAGTAAGTACACTATTAACAAAATGCATTTCACTGGAAATAATATGAATAATAGTCACAGAGGAACTAGTTAGAAAAAGAGCGGAACATAATGAAGGCATAATAGGAACGCTGGAGGAGTTGTCCCTTCACCAGGAAGACGTTGAACGGATCGAAAACATCAACAACTGGTGCAAAAACATTCAAATATTGTACCTCCAAGCTAATTTAATCCCCAAAATTGAAAACCTGAACAAATTGAAGAAACTTGAATATTTGAATTTGGCCATAAACAACATTGAAAAAATCGAAAATTTAGAACGATGCGAATTTCTCGAGAAACTAGATTTGACATTAAACTTTATTGGAGATTTAGAAAGTGTTTGTTCCTTACAAGGCAGCATTCACTTAAAACACTTGTATCTAACCGGAAATCCGTGTTGTGATTACAAAGGATATCGCCAATACGTAATCGCCAAACTTCCTCAGCTGATCACTTTAGATGGAACCGAAATAACAAAAAGTGAAAGGATAAAAGCTAAGCAAAATATTGCTTCGATTGAGGAAAATATAAAAAAAGAACAAGATCGTTATTTTTTGTTTAGAAGCGAACAGAAGAAGAGAATTGAGGGTAGGTTCGACTCAACAATCGATGATGAGGAGTTTTGGAAAAGTACAAGCGAAAATTGTCCAGAAACAAGAGTGGAAATTTCACGAAGATCTAGAAAATCAAAAGGATTTGACAAAGACAAAAAAACAGAGAAAAAACAAGTTCATTTATTTACTAAAGAAGGAAGACCTCTCAATATCAATCAAGCTAAATTAGATTTTAAATTTAATGATGAGGACCCAGAAAAGTTTGTCCTTGATCTTGCTGTTTACAAGTATGTTAATAATGTCTGATTTTTTTCCAAATTTACAATGCTTTGTAGGTATTTAGACACGAATTTAATTGAGATTGATTTACAACCAATTTACGCAAGAATTTTAATTAAAGGGAAAGTGTTTCAAATTGTTTTTTCGGAAGAAATCCTTACTGATAAAAGCACGGCAAAAAGGTCACAAATCACTGGGCATTTAGTACTGGAATTGCCTAGGGCTAATTACAAACCACTGAACCAAAAAAAAGTGAAAAAAATATCACGTCCGATTTGCGATGATAAAGAAAGAAAAGAGTAAGTTGACGAGATACACCCTATTTTACATAATGCGGATTTGTTTAGGCAATTTCTGGAAGTGCAAGAACACAATGAAATGGATTTTAGCAAAATTGTGGAGAATTATAACAAAAAGTGTCCTCGAGAACATCTGGAAGTGCCGCCTTTGGAGTATGGATAAACATAGTTAAGTTATTATGTTTATTTCTGCAAAAGCTTATTTTTATACACGTAAATAAATCGCTGCAAATTCTACATTTAACTGAATAATTTTCTAACAAATAAACACGTATATAAATTAAGATATAAGCACAGACACACATATACTAATGTACAGGACCAGAGAATTAATGGCTAATATTTGAGAAAAATGAAACTTAAATAATTCTAATAGAAACATAAATTGTCAACTTAGTCTAATATTACAGCAGTTTTCTTCTAGGTCCATTCTGTTCAAATTTAATATCATGTATTTTTGTCAAATATAATGTTGAAAGCACAAATAAAATTGTATTTATGAACTTGAAACTTAATAATATCATATTGCATCTTGACAATAAATATTCGTTCAAGTGACTATGTGAGCAAAAGATCCCAAATTGTTATTTTACAAAATGTAAGACTATATAAAATCGTGAAATGGTTTTAACACTTTTAAAATACATTTTTATATTCTACATCACACTGGATAATATTAAAGCAATTGGCTTATATTAAAAATATTCAAAAATAATTTGTATTCCGACATTTACCATGTAATAAGTAAAGCACATTTATGAAGTAATTAAATATTTGTGCCTATGTAATTTAAAATTGAATGATTTTAAATTATTTAAAATATTAAAACCAAAAATCAGAAGCTTTCAGCAATATATTGCTTTGTAGAATTGTCTTCAACTACAGTTACATTCAGATTTTTGGTTTATGACACATACAACAGCACAAATGAACTGACTTCTTTACTAATGAAAATGATCTATAAAAAATCTTGTTTAGTGAATGTTATTTTGAAATCAGTTCTTATGCATAATTGGAAAGGTAAAAACTAATTACTACAGCAAGACCTGGAAGTGTTTGACTGCTGTTTTCTATCTACCAGTACCCTATCCACATGATCACCTGGCTCTCTACCAGCCGTTTTATCTAAAATGGCCTCTGCAAGGTCATTAAAAGCTTTATCTATGTTAATGTTAGCTTTTGCTGAGGTTTCCATAAATCTGATGCCATGCTCACGTGCGATCTGAAAAACCTCATATACAAACAATAAATTTTGGTAAAGCTGTATTTACAGTTTCTCCCCTTTCTTTGCTCACTGTCCTCTTATCAGACATATCACATTTGTTACCAAGGATCATTTTTTCGACGTCTTCATTGGCATGCTATAAAAAGCACATTATTTAAACAAAAATAATACAACTGTTGTCGTCTGACCTCGTCTATGTTTCTTAACCATTTTACTATATTTTCAAAACTTTTTTCATTAGTAATATCATAAACTAACATTATTCCCATGGCACCTCGATAATATGAAGTCGTAATTGTATGGAATCTTTCTTGTCCAGCTGTGTCCCATATTTGTAACTTAATCTTTTTACCTCTTAGTTCGACCGTTTTAATTTTAAAATCTATACCTGAAAATCAAGAAATTTAAATTTGGCGCCTAGGAAGACCTCACCCCGTGTAGATAAAAATACACTATTATGGGAAGAATGAAATTATTATTATAATACAAACACCTATCTCTGGACTAATTGAAATGTTATTTTTTGTAATAAATGAGTGATTAATAGAAGAAGAAGTAGTAGGGTCAGAGCAAAGGTTAACTTACCAATAGTTGATATAAAAGTCGTCGTAAACGCATCATCGGAAAACCGAAAGAGTATACACGTTTTCCCTACGCCAGAATCGCCGATTAAAAGCAATTTAAATAACAAATCATATGTTTTTTTGGCCATTTCTTTATACTATGAAAATTATAATTAATTTTTTGACGTTCAACAGTTCAACCTACCAAAACAATAAAAACACCAGGACAGGGCAGCCAACATAGATACTACATACTACTAACTAGCACAGATATTCTCCTTAGATCCCCATTTCAATTTTTTTATTGATGAGTTTTAGGTGATTTTTTGTACATTAATTTATTTAAGCTTTTGTTTACTAATAAAAGTAATAAAACTTATTCTGTAAATTTCTCCTTATGGGCCTTATTACTTACTGCGCATGTCGCCTAAAGCGACCAATGGTGGCGCAGTAATTTTCTCTTCATGTCAAATGTCAGAAAATTCCAGATAATTTACTGTTGCGTTTCTCATTTTCCAGAAAAGCGATTAAATAGTGAGTAATACACGTATAATACAGTATTATTCGAGACTGGTATACAATAAATTGTTTCTGCAGCTTTCCTGTGGGAAAAGTGAGTAATTGAACACAACATCAAGGTAAGAATTTTTGTGTTTTGACCTAAATAGGAATACCCATTATTTACCTCAAGTTTCATCTTTGCATGTTGTGGGGCGTACGTTTATTGTAAAAGTGGAAAATAGACCTTATTCCGTAACTTAACTAGTTAATTTTGGTTTCTGCCAGTAGTCTTACAAAATTTTACCTAATGCGTCTAATACATCTAATATTGATTTTTATACATTGATGAGTCATGTATTTTTTTACACTAATACCAAATTAATTGTTAGTTTTTCGAAAATGTTTGTTTATGCCTTCCATCGCATTGTTGTTTCTGTAGCAAACGTTTAAATTTAAGGTTTATAAAAGTTTGTTTAATTTCTCTCAACATTATTCATTTATTTTCATTTATCTAATCTGTTTTTTTTTTTGTTACAGTATGTCTTGGAATAGTGGACCATATCCACAAGGTAATGTTTTATAGCATGTTAAAAAATCTACAAAGAATAGTTTATTTTAAAATATGAACGTTATCTTTATTATGGAGAATAATTGGCATTTGATATCTTGGAAATTTCCGCTTTTTTAATTTTAATTATATTTTCTAACATACGCTTATTAAACAGGAAATCAAGGATATTACGGTGGCCCTCCACCGCAGCAACCCTACCCTGGCGGTTATCCTGGGGCGCCTCCATCAGGATACCCAGGAGCACCGCCGCCAGGTTATCCGGGTGCTCCAGGAGCGTACCCAGGACAACCAGGTTTTAATCCACCACCACCACAACCGCCCTATGGAAATCCATATGACTCGGCACCCCAACAAGGTGAAGCTACACCCTTTAATTATCACACTGGTTCGTTATTTTTTAGTTCTTGAGGGTTCATTTTGCTAACTTGTTAAATTTACGTTGGCCTAGGCTTATGTTCTAATCAGCTACAGATTTGTCAACAAGAAATTACCACCTAGGATTTGAATTTTTAGGAAAATTACGTTTTTTATGTTGTTGACGGTTGACGTTTCCTGTCAGCCTGCTGTCAACTATCAATTGAGTTATCTATACAAGCTGACAAGTGACTTTACCTAAATTTTTGACACTAGTTAAAATATCTTTTGTTTGTCACTACAAACCAACCTAACCAAATTTATGGCAACCTATTCACGAATATCCTTAAATCCTATGGAGTAATTTCTTGTTGATAATATTGTAGGATGCGTGTGGGGACTTTTTAATGTAAAATTAAAATTCGAATCAAAGCTTTGGGTGATTTGTTTTGTATGGTTTTGGATTCTTTTGGCTAGCTTTTTTTTAATTTATAAAGTGAAATAGAGAACAACTTGTTACAGATTTTCAAAAATTGTTTATTAAACGTTGTTTCTCTGCTTTTTCAAAAGTATTTGGTACTGTACGAGGGGTGGTGTTGGTTGATTATTACTTGAATTTGCTTATTTTTGTATTGCTGATAATGCATGCCCGTCTGTATGGTAAAAAATCTGGTGTGAACATCACACGACTTTCCTTATCCCACTTATCTGGAAAACACCCTTACGACAATAATTTAATGTTGGAAATCCGAGTAGCAAACCTAACGTTTGCGTCAGTGCTACCTGCCGGATTACACGCGAAATAGATGATAGTTGTCGCTTGTTCGAGTCTAGGGTGCATTTTTTTTTAGTTTGGTGCCCATTATTATTTTTATTTTATCACATTTTACTGTTTAATAAGGTATATTTCATGATTCTAAATAATTTTTATCCCCGTGAATTCAACCGTATAATTTTGCGGCAGCTTTACGGCCGATTTTTGGTTTTTGTGGCCAAACGGTGTGATCGATTTTTACCAATTGTTTCGTGCTGCGTCCCCTTCCTACAAGTAACTTACATACCAAATTTCAAGTTTCTAGCTTTTATCGTTCTCGAGATATGCTGTTTACAGACAGACAAACACACACACTCACGACCCAATGGCCCAAACCAACTTTTTCGGTGTCTTAAAGCTATAATTCGTCCAGAAATGTAAAAATCTGGGTAGGTCAAATTTCAGCCGATTACAATACTTTCCTTATGGGATAAGGAAAGTAAAAATTATACCATTAACACTGTGCTGCAAAATTTTTATTTTTTATTGTCAAGTTTTTGACTTAAATTTACTTACGGCAATATAATGAAAACACTAGTGAAAGTAGGAGTATAATAAGTAAAAATAGATCTTCTTTGAATTTGTACTTATACGATATGTAAATAATGCCCTTCTCAGTTGATTTTTTGTTCAGACTTATTTATATTTCAGATAAAGCTAACAATTTTAAGTAATCCAGTTGAATATTTATTTTTGTAGCACAGTGACAATTGATGGATTGTAGTATTGCATGAGCGTTGTATTTTAGAATGTTTGAAGCTGAAGTTTGTTAGATTACACTAATCGCAACGCATGTGTTAGACTACAATTCAAAACAATTTGCCAAGAATTTAATGGAATTTATACAGACACAAAACTTATGTTTTTGCATATTTTTATGTTCATTTTATTTTTCCATTACTAGAGTAATGATGTTTGTGAATTACAATTCCAATTATCTCCATCCTGTGATAACAAAAATTAGCAGAAATATTTAATCCAAAACTGTAAATAGAAAATGCTCTAAATTATTTTAGAAAAGTTCATTTAATCACTGTTAATGAAAAATAAGTTTTTGATAACATGTTAAAAGTTCAACAATTCAACGTTTAATTTATAATAATATGACTATTTTCCTCTTAGAAACCTTATTTAGTTCCAGAATTGGTTCATGTTGATAAATATAATATTTGTTAAGTCCTCAGATATGTTTTTTTTTTGTTGCTGTAATAGATAACACCTTGTCGTGATAACACGTTTCGAGAAACGTGACTTATCTCTTACATCTGTCTAGTTCTTAAGTGTACCTATAATTAGCATGTATAAATTTTGGTCAATAGCTTATTAATCGATTTTTATTTTTTATCTAATTCTGTATTAATTTGGTTGTAATTTTAGACCCGAACCAGTGAGTTAAAATTCTTGGCAATTGTGATAAAAAGATAACATGCAATCCAACTAAACAATTTGTTTCAGGGATGTATGGCAACGAGGACCCCAGTGTCAAAGGATTTGACTTTTCAGATAAAAGTATCCGCCGTGGTTTCATTCGCAAAGTCTATTCAATTTTGATGGTTCAGCTATCGATATCTCTTGGATTTATCGCTTGGTTCTTATTTCACACACCGACGAGAAAGTTTGTCCAGGGCCATGGCGAATTGTTAATAATTTCTCTAGTCATCATCTTCGTTACTATGATTGCACTCGCTTGCTGCGGGGAAGTACGAAGAAAATCGCCCATGAATTACATTTTCCTTTTCATTTTCACTCTTGCTGAATCATTTGTGCTTGCAGTATGTTCTTCAACATATGAATCTCAAGAAGTCATGATGGCAGTTGGTATCACTGCCGCTGTTTGTCTCGGGCTAACTTTGTTTGCATTCCAAACGAAATACGATTTTACAATGTGTGGAGGAATACTTTTTGTTGCCGTCCTGATTCTATTTATTTTCGGAATTGTTACCATTTTTGTTCATACCAAAGTTGTAAAGTTGGTTTATGCATCTTTGGGGGCTTTGATTTTCTCCATTTATTTAGTTTATGACACGCAGCTCATGTTGGGTGGCAACCACAAGTATTCCATCTCACCAGAAGAATATGTTTTCGCCGCATTGAATTTGTACATCGACGTTATTAATATTTTCATGTACATTTTAACAATTATTGGAACTTCAAGGGATTAGAAGTAGTGGGTTTTATTTTTTCAAATGTTGTATTTTGTTGTTGTGTTACGTAAGAATTGCGATTTTGTTTGACAGAGTATTAATAAATTCACCTCTATTTTTTAAATATTCTTGAATAATCTAAGTAGATTTTAGACGATTTCCAAAGCCAGTGGTTCTTTAATTATTGTTAATTGTAGCGAAACCACTATTACGAAAGCTTCTACTTACTCAAAGAACCCAAAAGTGTTATGAATGTGATGAATTACTATTACCTTGATAATAATACAAAAATCCTTCGTTTATTGTAGTATTTATAACATGTAAGTATAAAGATTAGGTAAATAACTATAGTTTTTGGTGATTACTCGTTTTACTGTAATCCTTATGTATAGGAAATAAATGCACTGAAATATTGATATTGCCCTAACATTTCTGCTTTTTCTTTCTAAACTCGAATTCAGCGTCAACGTGAAATTGCATAGATTTAGGTACGCTATTATTTTTGTATTTTCTTATCCTTTCAAAATTAGTTTGAAGCCGTCTAAAAACTTGCTGCAGCTTTGCTTCTAAAATTAAAAATTCCCATTTTTGGGTGAGGATTACTCCTCAACTTTTATAAATATGAGAAAAAATAATGTTTATCTTATTATTTTTCAAAATAACTATTTTCACAACTGATAATCATATTTTTGGAATGAGTGAAGTGTTTATTGGTGAGGAGATTGAAGTAAAAGTTAAAAGAGCATTAAAAATAATTATTTATTATATAAGACGATAAAAAAATTGTTTATCTACGAGTAAAAAGGTTAAGTTTACGAGTGGACTTTTTTCACGAGCAGATAAACAATTATCTTTATCGTCGTGTATAATATTTCGTTTTATTTTGTACTCACCTACCAGAATTTCTTGAATATAATCAGTAAATAAAATTACTTTATTTCACTAGACGATAAAAGACTACTTTATCTACTGAAATTAGTTGATAAAATATAAACAGTAGATAAAAATTACTTTATTTCATTAGACGATAAGAGACTACTTTATCTACCGAAATTAGTTGATAAAAGCACTCTTTAACATTGAGTACAAAATAAATAAAAGAATTCGTATTTACCGGATTTTTGACAATAAGGATTTAACGATTTGATTATTTTGAGGTTAGGATGGTACATTTATTTACTTTTAAAAATTAACATTTTCATATGATTCTTATATACTGTCTCTCAAGAAGAAATCGTATAAGAAGTCCTATTTGTGCTTAACTCTTTTCAATGTAATTTTCCATTATCAAAGGTATTTCTGTTTGCCACACCCGATTTATTTGGCGTCCGATAAGAAAAAAAAACCTGAAATAATGGATAAAACGAGTAAAAATAAAAGTGTAAAAGTGGTTGTTCTGGGAGACATTGGAAGAAGTCCGAGGATGCAGTATCACTGTATGTCCTTGTCAGAAATGGGGCACCGAGTGGATGTAATTGCTTACGGTGACACCGAGCCCCTTGCCTCAATCAAAGCAGATCCTTTCATATTTTATCACTATTTGCTCCCAGTGCCTCAACTTCCAATCAAATTGCTTAATTACGCATTTAAAACAGTTATGCAAGCGATAAATCTACTGTTTTTACTTTTTATCACGACCAAATCAGATATTTTGATTATGCAAAATCCCCCAGCGATTCCCGCCATGGTAATCTGCTGGTTATATACAAGAATTGTAAACGCCAAATTTGTAATCGATTGGCATAATTATGCTCATACTATCATGGCCCTGAATATCGGGGAAAGTAATCCTTTAGTTCAAATTACAAAAAAAGTTGAAGTTGTTATAGGCCACAGAGCAGATCATAATTTCTGTGTTACTAAAGCAATGAAAGACGATTTGCAAAGAAATTGGGACATAAAGTAAGACTTGAAAATTAATACTGCTTAAAATAAATTGAGCTTTTAGAGCTACCACTTTATATGATAGGCCTCCAATAATTTTTAAGCCAATTACGTTGGAAGAAAAACACAAATTTATACTTGAGTGTGGCAACAAATATCATAAAATTTTCTTAGATGAACATGTAAATTCAACAGTTTTTACTGAAGAAACAGAAGAAGGAATTAAATTAAAAACTAGGAGACCAGGGTTGTTGGTTTCCAGTACTAGTTGGACTGAAGATGAGGATTTTTCCATTTTATTAACAGCCTTACAAGGTAAATTATTAAACTGAGTTATATCTTTATTATCATATTATTGTAGAGTATGAAAAACAGTGTGAAGAAGGTAATCCGCGAAATTTGCCTAAACTGATTTGTGTAATAACAGGAAAAGGGCCGTTAAAGGACTATTACCTCGACAGAATTTCCTTACTGACTTGGAATTATGTTGCTATTATAACTCCATGGTTAGATGCTGAAGATTATCCAAAAATTTTAGCTTCTGCAGATTTGGGAGTCTCTCTTCACACAAGTTCTAGTGGTCTTGACCTACCAATGAAAGTTGTTGATATGTTTGGTTGTGGTTTACCAGTTTGTGCCTTTGATTTTAAATGGTAAGTACAAACTTCTTTACAGTAAAACCTTCAATTTCGTATTTTAGCCTAAATGAACTAGTGAAGAATGGTGAAAACAGTTTTATATTTAAATCTTCTGAGGAATTATCCAAGCAAATATTAGATTGGTTTGAAAACTTTCCCAATAAAGCGAACCAAAAGCGAACTGTAGCAAAATTCAAGACTGAACTTGAAGCATTCCAAAACCTAAGATGGAAAGAAAATTGGGAGGTGGTTGCATCACCAGTTTTCAAATAATTTCACTTTATAGAAAAAACGTTTATTGAAAAGTTAAACTATGAATAAATTGCGTTTGTACATTAAACAAGCAAACGTTCAATTTCTTGCTGAATGGCTTCAATTTGAGGCTTCAGCTGCGATCCTTCATTAATCGTAACACTGCAAGCAATGACTGACCTTGAAACGCCACAAGCGCGCCCCAATGCTTGCTTGGAACGAACAAACACGTACGGCACATTCTTGTCTTCACAAAGCAGTGGCAAATGCAATAAAATTTCCAAAGGTTCGGCATCAGCTGCCATTACGATAAATGCGGCAATTCCACGATTCAGCGTTTTGGTAACTTCATTTGCCCCTTTACGCAACTGCTTATAATTCATTGCTTGTTGCACAAGATTCAAGATTTTGGTCGTGAGGATTGCCTCAGCCAAAGGGTAAGCTTTGGGGTTTACCTCTTCCACCTGTAAACTACAATTAATCGACAAGTTTGGCGAAATAACTACGTACCATTTTGTTAAGATCACAAGTATGATAAACTGACTGAATTCAGACAACCTCTCGGCGATTTATCGCTTCACGGAGGAGTCGCAATAACACGTGAAAAAACAAGCGTCCTAACCTCAAAAAAACGTAGCCAGAACGTCAGATCAATATAGGGTGTTTAGGTACGTGGTGTTGGTAGTTGCGTTTGTTGACGTTTGAGACAGACAAGTCGTGACGTCACAAGAGAGGGGGTGCCATGTGTACAAGCAAGTTCCACGTCTTACTCGCTGGCTGTAAAAGTTGAACTTGTAGTGAGGGTTTCTTTGGTTAGCTTCAGATCGCCGAATGATATTAGTGAGATTAGTTCAATAAAATAACAGAAAAATGAAGTACTTTTTCTTAATTTCTTTGCTGGTTCTTCCTGCTGTGATTTTCACACTAGATAATGGTAAGTTTCTCTCATTTTTGGATCACTTTACCAAATTTTATAACGGGGGTCCATTGACTTGTCCCTAATTTACGTGGCAATATTTTGAGTGAAATTTTGAACTAAAAGCGATCATTTTTGAGGATAAAATCACTTGAGCGACGGTTTGATTTATTTTTGGCGATTTTCGTTCAAGATTTTGGTTTTGTATGTCAGCATATGTGACTTAGCATTTCCTTCTTTGTGCAGGCCATAAAATGGTCGCACATGCTGAAGAAGACCCTCTTGAAGATGAAGTTGAGGTTGAAGGAGAAGCAGATGTTGAAGAAGTAGCACCCACTGATGAGGAGGACGAGGAGGATAAAGAAAAAACAACAGCTTCACCAGATGCTGATACAACGCTTCTGTTTGTCAGACCTATTGCCACTGCTTCACAATTAGGTGATTTATTAAAAGATTTGGGTGTGAATTTTACTAATTTTGAGTGTTTCGTTACAGAACTTCCTGCCGGGATTCCTGTTGAATTTTTGGTAGGTTTCCGCAACAAAGGTAAGGAGGATTTTGTTCTGGAATCTCTAGAAGCGTCATTCCGTTATCCCATGGACTTCAACTTCTACATCCAAAATTTCTCAGCTATTGGTTATAGCAAAGTTGTGCAACCTGAACAAGAAGCTACTTTGGCCTACAGTTTTATTCCGTCTGAAGCCTTTGCTGGAAGACCTTTTGGTCTGAATATTAATCTAGCATACAGAGATGCTTCTGGAAATTCGTTCCAAGAAGCAGTTTACAATGAGACTGTGCAAATAATTGAGCTTGAAGAAGGTATAATTTCCAGAAACATAAACTTGTTTTTTTTTAATTTGATTTCTTTTGTTCAGGTTTGGACGGAGAGACATTCTTCTTGTACGTGTTCCTTGTTGCTGGTGTTGTACTTCTTTTGGTTATTGGGCAGCAGACTTTATTGTCATTTGGTAAAAAACGAATCACTCGCAAAGCTGCCCCTGTTGAGACTGGTACAAGTAATCCAAATAATGTCGACTATGATTGGTTGCCAAAACAAACGTTGGCTACTTTAAGTAAGTGTTAAATTTGTGATTATGCATTTTTTTCAATGAATTTTTTACAGACAAAGAAAAATCACAAAAGTCTCCCAAATCAATTAAGCAAAGTCCTAGACAACGCAAAGTCAAAAGGTCTACAGGTTCAGAATAGTCGTTTTCAAAATTTTTGCGTTCATTTCACAGTTTGTTTTCACATTTCATTTTGTATATTGACAGGGACACAAAACTTGTAAGAATAATATAAATAGATTACTATTTATAATTATTTTGTATCCTGTGTTGTGATTTTTTTTTAATTGTTGAATTTTTCACATAGGTATAGAATTAAATTATGTAAATAATGAATAAGATCATCGTTTTGAAAGACGATTTGAATCAATAAAACGAAACATCTTTTTTATCTCGTCTATTTTTTTCTTTACTGTTAAAAAAAACGTTAATTGTTTGAGAGAATATCTAATAACCTTAGTAGAATGTGTTAAAAAATTTAAATGAGCTGCTTTATTTTACAAAAAGGTTAATTGAAAATAAAAAAAATACAATTTTTGTTTCGTCAAACATAAAATTTCTTTGTCAGAACAATAACCACAAAATTTGAATCATTCGTGGTAAATACAACTCGATGTTAATATTAGTAATGAATGTATGTATCAGTTCAGTTACTCCTAGACAGGTCTTTAATTTCTTAAATTTTGATGTTTGTATTCACAATATAAATTGACTCCATGCACGGAGTATGGGACAAGCAGAACCCACAAAAATAATTTTTTTATCTTTCCCTTTAGCACAAAAACATCCATTTTTCCTACCTTAGCTTCAGTCATGACTGAAGATTATATTTTTCCAAAAATTGGCGTTACAAAAAATCACTCATACATCGTAATAAATGACGCTGTGGGTTTCTGACACCCAATCGTGCAGTATCAGGATTAACATAACACTCCAATTATTTAGTTATTACAAATGTATGGAAACTAATTTATGGTAAAAAAATGTAATAAAACATTTAAGTTATGATATTTTACTACAGTATTTTTCAACCTTCGTCATAAACAGAATTTATTTTTTCCATTTTATTGTATACCCACTTATTAAAATTGGTGGATGCGCCGGGCACATACGTACATGTAAATGAATATACTCTTGAAAAAAGTGGTTCTTTGATCATGTTTCTACATAAATGTAAGATGATCCAATTAGTAGAAAGAATCTTTCTAACCATATTTTGATAAAAAGTAGAGTTTTAGTTGTAAATATATTATTGTCAATTTCTAAACATCAACTCTATAAGTTTCTCACTTCCAATGATGTTTCTTAAACTCCATTTGTATTTAATTTAATATTTCATTCGATTATTTTCCAATTTATTTGTTGCCATAAAAGCCCATAAATCTTGAAAGTTATGAGATATGGAAAAATATAATTTTGTAAAAACAGTTCGTACAATAATATGACTCACTGTTAACTAATAGTTCATAAGTGTTTTTGAGTGTGATATTTACAACATAGAACTTTTGGTGTTAACAATTTGGGCGTAATAAAAAAATAGTCAGTGATGTTTTTTATTTAGTCTTCAACGAGGTCGTTTTCATAATAAAAATCTTTCGATAAATAACACGTACATTTTTCGAACTCAACGAAAATGAAGCATGGGCGCATAGAATTTGGCAATAAAATGTTTTTTCATTTCAAGACAATATTAAGAATACCACTTTAAAATGTTCGTACTTTACGAATTTTAATTACACACGATGTATACGAGTAAAAGATTAAATAATGAATAGGTATTGACTGCATTGTTATGGATTTTTCAGGGAAGATTATAAATGTAAGTGACTGGAGAAAGTTGTTTACTATAAATGTGATTTAGTTACCCAACTTCGCCCAATAATTTATCATTATAAATGAGCAACATCCCGGATACGCTATAAAAAAGTAGATACATTTTTTTTCCAAAAATGATAAATGCTTTACGCAGTGATAAATTATTAATTGATATTTTGTATTGACAAACTTTAAATCAAGAAGTCTCTAGAATCCAATTAAAATGCCAATTTGCACTAAATCTCATCTTTCCGAGGTCCTTTTCCTAATCAATATTTGCTCGCAGTTTTACTTGTGTGGTGTAAGTCACACTAAAGTTTTAATTGCTGGTCTCAAGAAACTATACTTTAAATGAATAAATCGCCATTTTAGATATAGATACATTTATTTAACATACGTTAGGGAAGGCAACATTTCTGGATATAAACATTCAATATGTTTTGTATTTATTCTAAAGGATTATATTGAACATTCATGATACATTTTTCAGTTCAAGTGTAACTCTGATGTAAAGTTACAGGTCTACATTCAATTACATTTCAACACTACAATTTTATTTTGATTATAGTGTTAAAAACAATACAAATCTTATTTAATTGTCAACTACTTTCAAGTTAGGGCTCTTTATGTTGAAAGTTATTGACAAATGGTAGAGGCAAATGTAAAAACAAGAAAGAAAATTGTTGAAACTAACCTAGAAGTATCGAGTAGACACACGCAACATTAAATTATGTACAAATGATATAATAACTAGGTCTTTCAAGTCTGGCTTTAACACATAAATTTTACAACCCCATAAACAAATGTATCGTTTTACAACACACAAGCATACGAATTGTTACAAAGTATTTAGTCTTCTTACAAATTAAAAACAAAATTTTATGAGTTTCGATAAGCGTAATGTTTTTTCAACATTGAGTTTTTCCTAAAAATTACAAAACAGTTTCATTGGTACAAGTTCGTGGCCCATTGACCAACGAATACCTAGAAGATCCGTTTCTGGTCGTAACGGCACCTCTTATAAACAATTCCTTAAAAGTCTCCCTAAATTGTCGCGACATACCACAATAAATAGCAAAATTTATCGGATAACTTAGGATTATAAAAAAATTTGTAAACAGAATTAACGTATTTGCTACATAATAGTCCAGAAACTCAATAAACGTACTGGATATAATATGCAACAAAGTAACTACCACTAAAGGAATCTCTACAATAAGAAACACCGTTACTACGACTATCAGCATCAGAGTGGTGCAATTAGAGTCTCTTAACTTCTTGCATTCATTCTTTTGATTCTTCTTGGAAAGCAGTTGCTCTCTTCTCTGTTGCGCTTGTTTCAATGCTCGAAACAATAGGATATTCAAAATTACGAGAGCTACACAAGGAATTAGATGCACAAATAATACCCTGAACATGAAATACGTTACAAAGTAGAAATCCTCGGTCACGTATTCCTTCACCCAGTGTGCATGTTCCCGTTTGCACACGTGTGTTGTGTGGTTATTCCATAGCACGTCCACCTGTAAAAAAGAAACACAGTTGGAGTAAATTGAGGTGTTGTAACTGTAGCTTTGATCGTAAACTTAAAGCGGAACTTATTGTCTACGTCAAATGAAGACTGGCAAAAGCAAAAGGGAACAAATTGAAATAGCTTGGAAGCATTTGGTCACTTGAACATTTTTGCACGTAGAATCGCAGTTTTGGTGAAAACAAGTCACTTAAAAGTGGTGATGTAGTTAAAACATCAACGGTCCAGTTACGGCTTACACCTACCTTTTTATGTCAGACGAGTGTATAATTTCTTTTGAGAAGAAAAAAAAAACAATTTTACAAACCTAAATAACCTGTAGTTTTATACAATCCGAATATACTACTCCTATTATTTGATATACTGCATTTTTATTTATCAGAGAATTAACGTTTTTATAATTTTTAGAAAAACACAAGCAATAGTAAAAATTCGATAAAGAAACAAAAAAAATTGTTGATGCCAAAAAAAACTGAAAAACGGTTTTGTAGTGTAAACTTTTGACAAATTAATAACAATTATTGTGAAATCATTCAATCTTTTTTTTAAATAAATTAATAAGTATCGATTTAATACATAACATTTAGTTGACCAAAATTGTCGTTAATAAATTGAAAATTTATGAAAAAAAAAGTTAAGCCTGTTTTCCGGAAAAATTTAAGTGTAATACTAAAAACAATCTTTTTTAAATTTGCGAATAATTTTGACATACATCGATCACAATCAGGACAATCACAGACTGGAAAAATAAAAGAAATGGATAAAAAAGGTTATTTTTTTGCACCAGACCTATTAAGTATTATACGATACTTTTTCTCGAATAAAACGTTTATTTTGATTAAATTTTTTTGCTGCTTTCAAAGCATTCAAAGTTTTACAAAATAATTAATTCGTTTAAGTTTCCTTCCGGCGAATTCTCTTGAAATCGGTAAAAAAATATCTCACAAATAATGGATTTTACTCTTGTTTTTTTTTTTTTTTTAATTTGCCGATGTGCGTAGATCTTTACATACAAACTAAAAAAAAATTATTTTATTAATATATGTACTATTTATATTTTAACTTTTAACTCAAACGTCAATTCTATTTTGCGTTTAGAATAAGTCTATTCCAGCACCCAAATGATGTCATTTGAGTGCTTTAATAAGACGTTGGCGTAAATTTAAATTTAGTGACGGACTTTCTTCACTATTCATTTTCAAATGTGATTTTTTTTAATTTTCGTTTTTTTATTTATAAAATGATATTAAGCCGCAAAATAGAAAAAATAGTATAAAGCACTTGTTGTAGAAGGTTTTTCAAGCGCTCATTTGTTTCTCAACTCGCCGCCACGCGGCTCGTTTCGGAATTTCAAATTTGTGCTTGAATTTGTGCAACTTGTACTTTAATATACAGGCTGTTTCGTTTTTATTGTTACAAATTTAAACAGGTGATGAAATATTCAATTTTAAGACAAAAGTTTCCTATGAACATGTATAAAAGAAAGACATGCGTTTTTTAATGGGATTTTTTCACTATTGCAGAATAGATAAAATTGCAAAAGTTGGTACAGCTGATAACCTTTAAAAAACGAATTCCAAGATTAGTTGTCAAAATTTTTAATCACAGGCGTCTTAAACGGTAATACAAATTTAATTTTTAGGTTTATCCTCTTTATGGTCTGTAAACATATGTGTAAACTGACATTACTTAAAAACGGTTGTACTCGTATCGAAAGAACGCACCAGACCAATTTTTTGTGAAAAACTATAAAATTTAGAATTGTGTATCTGAAAGTGGTAAGAACCAACAGCCAAAATAGTTAGGGAACTTTTACCCTAAACTCCCCAGTTTAGGACGTCCCTGAGTAAAAATTTCGACATTTTATCCTTCAATTCGTTTGAGTGTATATAGGTTATCAGTTGTACCAAATTTTGTAATTTTTTCTACAATGGTTGCTGAAATATTGGAAAAAATTCATTAAAAAATGTAGCCATTATTAAATTTTTTAATATTCGACAATGTTGTTTTCTAATAAAAAAAATCATTAATGTACTTGGGTACATTTTTCAATAGTGGCAAGATTTTTTTGATGTTATTTCGTCAATTTACAAATAATCTGTCGATGTTTGAACATAATTTTCCGCATATTTTGGTTAAATCAGATATGTTTTTTATCCGTATATTACCATAATTTTCTCAAAACAACGTCGGTATGCTCGCTGTTTTAATTTTTTTTTTTAATTAAAGCATATTAAATTTCAATTACAAAGCGAGCATTTCAATTAATGAACCAGCGAATGGACGCATTCAACAATGCACTAGTATCGATCTTCGTTTCAACATTTAAATTGAAACAAACTACTATTCAAATCTAACTTTAATTAAAAATATCTCTTTGCAAAAAATCAAGTACAATGAAACAAGTGGAGTTCAACATTTCCACAATCTTAGGACAATTCCGGCGATTATGCAGTAATTGATGGTAAGAGTTCCGGTTGTAAATTTTATGTCGAAGTGAGTTTTATGGTAGCTGAAAAACGAAGGCGACTAATAAATGTTCCATGAACATATTTTCTCATGATTAATGTTTGTTATCAGTGTGACACGCCCGCAGCTCGCATGTTCAAGTTGTTAAATCATGAATTTTATCAGAACAAACTCTTTATTTATTTTTTTTCCTAAAACTAGTCATACTTCTTAGCTGATAACGTTTAATGCAACAGGTGTGAGAAGGTTCTTTGACCTCTGTTAATCCGACTTGATTTTGAAATATTCCGAATGAAAAACTAGATTGGTATTGATGAGCTAAAAGCGAGCACAGTCTTTTTTATTTCAGCGTTTTTTACAATTCATTAAAGCTTTATTTTTCTCTTGTCGTGAAGGAGGGATGGAACACATTTAAAACAATGAAAGCGTGTTTTATTGCAAACGAAGAAAGTGTACCCGTCAGAATTCTGACCGTAAAATACATGATTTCTATGCATTTGGTCAAATTTAATGGAATGGAAATTTATCACATTTTGGCGAGGTGACTTTTTCCTTTAATAAATTTATTTGCCAGTTATTTATGGATGTAACTTTAAGAAAAAATGGGAGAACCTGGAAAGAATAATCAATGGATAGACTAAAGTTACGGTCGGTTCGTTCCTGAAATTTTAAAATATTCTGAAAGTCTTAGTTTCTCTTATAAAGAATAGAGCGAATATACAAATAAATATAAAAATATATTAAATTTATACAAATAAATTTTAAACATACGATTTAACACATTTTAATAAGGCGTTGTTTTTAATATTTTTTTGTGATAATATTCTAACATGCTTATATTTTATTTTTACTTTCCTCGTCTGTGGCTAAGCAAAAATTAATTTTTTTATTTTACATTTTTCTTTTTCATGTAAAAACAAAAAGTTATATTTAAATGAATAATAATTGCAAAACATGAATAAGTGCAAATAGCGTTTTTAAATACCTACTAAAACTCTCTTGAAAATATTTAGCGAATTCTGTGACTGAGAATTGTAGAACATGTCCGAAAATAATGGAGTGCACTATAGAAATTAGAACAAAACTAGAAGTGGAACCAGGAAACAATACACCCTATTAAGCTGTGTATTCTTGATTTTGCCTCTGCGCTGACGGCGATAACATTAACTTTACTCATGTTCAAGCAGAAAGCATGTGAAACTTTGGGGTTGTAATAAGCGTAAACCTGAATTCAAGTTATAACAAATTTGTATTTAGATCATTGTTAAAAAACTTTGTATTCTACTTAAAGTCTAGAGTAAAACTGAGCTTTTCAGGGAAGTAGACATTTGTAAGTTAGTTCCAACTAACCAACTATTATTTCCGAGATTTTCAAATATAGTTCAACAAATAGGTATGCATAATTAAAATGCTCTTAATCAAAATACAGTAAGTGAGTAAAATTTTATATATTTTTTTTTCAAATTTTGATGTTAAACACTTATTTAAAGGCCTGATGATGATAATAACGAGGTATTTAAAAAAAATTTTTTTTGAAATATTGATAAAATTAAATTGTATTTATTTTCTATCTGCATAAATTAAAAATCTCATCAGAAGGGACAAGGTTACTCTATAGACTCGTCTATACATGTATGCGTTGTGTTGTAAGTATCTGTAGCACAAGTGTATAAAGTTGCATCTGACCTGCAATGACTTTTCTTAAAAAAATAGTGAAATAATAAATTTTCGCAATTTTAATTAAATTCAAAAAGTACTTGCATTTTGGTTTATTGATAATTAGTTATATAAATTTGTTTTCAATTATTTACTCAATTATAAAATGGAAATATTTTAACAATAATTCAAAACGGAATCCAATCAATAAACGGTACAATCTGAACTATTTATAAATATAAATTAAAACAATGTTACTTAATTTACTGCTATTTGGATAAAAAATATTATTACCATGAGCATTGAAGAAGTAATGAAAGAGTTTAATAACATCAAACATAAAATTTCCGTTTGTTTCACACTTTGCAAGCGTTGAAATATAACGTTCCTACGTTTGCGATAAATTTCGCACCTTAATGACTTTGCGTAATTAATTTTTTGCGGACTAAACGAGCCGGAAAGAGTCATCACGTCACAATTTGAAACATCTAATTTGAAATTATTCGCTTGCTTGAATCCGCACAGGCGAAAATTCCTACTTCTTTGTAAGATCGATCGGTCTTGAGCGGGAATGATCACGTTATAAAAACAATCTGGGCAGGATCCAACTTATAATTATTGGAGATAATCCGAAATCAATCCGGTCTAAGTGGTACTTTTAGATAAGCATTTCGTCCTCGGCTTTATTACATTTCCTTGCTGTGCCAAGACGTATAATGAGGTGTCAAAAGCAGAACGAACAAGCTTACATCTTAAAAAGCGTGATTTACATTGAAAAACTCCCTTTACAACCAGCATCTCGCCTTTCTTGTTCATTGCTTTCAATTTTTATGACGAACTCATGAAAACAACATATCCCAATTGAGTATCGAGTGCTAATAATGTCTTTTGTTCCGATTCTCGCATAAAAAGCCATATCAGAATAAAAATCTTTCATTAATGAGCAGCTTTAAAGTTGTTAATATTTTTATATAACAATTAGAGTAATCAGAGTTGTATCGATTGATAAATAAATACAAGTGCCGTTCCGATCCAATTACACTGTTATCACCTTCAGTGACAATAATGACAATAATGCATTAATGACATATCGGTAATGTTGCGTCCCAATTAAGAATAAGTACCCTCTGGTACAGAGATTAGAGATAGAGTCGTAAACTCGATTCGGTATGTTTCAACGCTTCGGATTTCTAATTAACGTAACTAATTGGAGAGAGGTAGAGCTCCAATATGGTCGTATCAACAGAGTACGTTAGATGGTCGCTTTACGACGTCGTGAACATCTATTGTAATAAGCAGGTTAATTTTCACAATCGAAGCTTATAATTGCAACTCGCCTAATAATATAATGTTTACTTACCGTGCTATATTCTGAGTCAAAAAATCGGAAACCCTGATGAAGAGCTGCTATGACTAGAATATAGATAAGACACTTGTAGACGTTAGACATGGTGCACAATTTTCGTGCAAGAGGCGCATGACATACGAAAATGTACCTCTGTACGGCGAGGGCCAGTGTTAGCCATATGCTCGCCGTGTGGAACATGTTGGGAATTACCTGAAAAAAAATTTTGAATAACAATGAGAATCAGTTTAAAATATTTAAACAAATAATAACCACAAACTAAACAAAGCAAAGCTAATTTTTTTTGCAACAAATTATTTGCGGGAATAAATCCAGTTTCAAATCTACAGGGTGAATATAAAGTATGGAACCAAGCGGTTTTATTTTTAATCATTTGCCTCCAGCAAATAATAATTAATATAAAGTAAAGTAATATAAAAAATGTGACCGTATTTTCAGAACGAAATTTTGTTTTGTTTTTGAGTTATGCCATTTTTTTGTCAAAATTTGCAATTTATGTGTAAAAATTTTTTTGAAAAAATTAAATATAAAGCGGATAGTTGTAATCCTTAGAGTATAGCTTTTATGAGAAAAATGATTTCATAGTGGGTTGCCATTAAAAAAAAAATTTTTTGTAGAACTCAAAAACAAAAGGAAATTTCGAAAAATTTAATTCTTGCTAAATTATCAGATTTTTATAGTACTTTATCACTCATCAATTAGTTTTTTCAAAAAATAAATAGTTTAAGCAAAAAATGTTTGGTTCCATACTTTTTATTCACCTGGTATACAGAAAATATGAACATGCAAACTACATTTATGAAATAAAATAGATCACAAATTCCGAGTCATGAACAATGACTGTTTGAATTGGCAAAAGAATAAGAAAATTTTCTTTTTCGGTTGTTTGCAACACTGTAACCACATATAAATTTGATTGACAGATACTTGACGAAACTAGGTTGTTTTACTATGAAATTGCCATGTAATTTGGGTGAAAAAGTTGGTACCTTATATCGATAATTTGTAATCGAGTAATCTTTGGATCCGAAAGCGTATGTCTGTGAAATGTCTGTCAAATAAAATGACAAGTCAAAAGATAAAATGGCATGATCAAAAAGATGATGATTTTAATAACTAAATTTATGATTTACCTTCAAAAAAGAAGGGTCCTATTGCTATAGGAGTACGCCGGCGACTAATTTTACCCCATTTTGCTCTTTTACCTTTCGACTTATAACTTTATTTGAAACGTTTCACGTGCAGTTAGTTCGAAAACAGACATACGTTTTCGGATCCAAAGATGACTCGTTTACAAATTATCTTGATCTCTCGATACTTTTGTTATTTCAACTACATACAGTGAGCGTCAAAATTATGGAATAATCTTTTTAACACTGAAAATATTTTGTTTTTGCAACAATACTCGAACAAACAGGTCAATTTTTTTTTAAATACACAAGTATTAACTTGATTTAAAATTTTACACTTTTTGGTTTTGACGCTCTCTGTATATTGATATCCATTAAACACCGCTCTTTTTAAATCAAGTTAGATGCAATATGTGATTCTTGTAATTGAACTGAAACGTCAACTTCTTCAATACCAAAAAACAAGGTTAAAATAAAAAATGTTTAATAGTCGTGGAAAATGAATAGTATTCTACTCCAAAATATTGGCTATTATTCACTCAAATGATTACAAAACTCACGTTCTGTTTGTTTTCTAAACTTTATCTTTGCAAAATTGATTGTGAACGAACCCACCAAGATTACCAAGATTAAGATGATGAAGATGGTTAACTTTGTGCATACTACTAAAATTGTAATTGTAATGTTATGTTGGTTTGGTTAAGTGTTCATGGTGTGTTCACAACGAGCTTGTCACGGCCCACTGTGACGTCGAATTTAAAAAAAAAGACCCGTTATTTTCATTTAGTCATTTGGCAGATTTATTTATTTACAGTTCACAATTGTGTTGTTGTTGGTTAATTAACTTCTTCTCCAGATTTAAAATAATTTTATGCCGTTGAAAAATTGTAAGAAATCGAGGATTCCGTAACAAAAATAACAAAAAATAAAAAGCTTATACTTTCGTTCTATTTGATTTTCCGATACTCCTTTGACACTTTATTTTTACCAATCAGACGAGGACAAAACTTATCAAACTTCAATTTATTTATGAAATGGTCTGTTAAAAAAGTGAGTTATTGACATCTTTCACAATGTACCTGATGTTATCCAATAAGCAACAGGTTTCCGACTCAAAAAAGAATAACAATGTATTTACTTAAATAAAGCGTGATGATAATAATAAAATTAATGAAAATAATAATCGGTCTTTGTTGTCATTTCAGGAAAATTACTATATGTTGTTTTAATGAGAAAAATTAAGCCTGCTATGAACAAAGTGGTGGCTAAATTAAATTTTATAGATATAATGAACTTCTTAATATGATTTCCTCCACTTTAATAGGTACATACATTACAACAATTATGGCACATAATTCGAAAGAAAATTGCAGACATTATACCGCTATTTTACTAGCACATAACATACGAGTTATGAAGAAGCTGACAAATAATCCATAAAATGTAGTAAATCTCTCTTTTAGCTCAAAACAAGCAATTTTATTTCTTTGTTAAAAATAATTTTAACTGTGTTTTCTAATTGTTTTCTTCAAGACAAAAGGGTATCGACTTCATTATAAAATTACTTCGTTTAAGGTCGAGCTGACGCAAATAAGGCTTTAAACCTTTTGTTTTTCCGTAACTGTTCTCTGTCACTTTTCAAAGCTCGGTTTTATTAAAGTTCGCTAAAACGTAAATTGGAACAAAATTGTTCGCGGCCGCAAAATTTTAATAATCCGTTTAAAATTTCAGAAAATATAAGCAACATTTAGTAAAAGGAAACGAGCTTAGATGTGTGCCAGATGCTACAATTTATTGCAGTCAATTTATGGATTTTATCTCTCCTCCATAATAATGTTGTTTGTAGAAATTCGAATTCGTATACATAAAGTGCGTTTGCCGTATTGTTGCGGTAAAAATAGAACAACACTCTCGTAAAATGAAAAGGAAATTATTTTTCTGATCTCACGCCTCGAATATCAAGAATCCTCTTCTTTAAAAGATTAGCGATACAAATTTAAAATGCTAAGCTCGTACTCGGTGACCCTTTTAACTCGCATTTGAAAAAAGAGACGGAAATATCTTGCAAAATTAAAAAAAAAACTTCAGTAATTTTACACAGTGCACATACAGGGTGTCAATTTTAAAACTTGCAATCTCTAGAACTGAAAAAGTTATCGAGAATCATTCAAAACCGTTTCGATGGTTTTTAGTGGGAATCAAAATGGTAAGTGGTAAGTGACGCTCCTCCCCCACCCTTGAAGCCACAGCCTCCTCAAATTGAAAATTTTAAATGGCACTACCCTACTTGTGATATATCGTTGGAAAGCTCATAACAAGCGCTTTTCAAAACTGTCATACAACAGCCTATTTAGTAAAGCCGTTTTTCCAATTATTCAAAAACAAAGACTTTAAATTATCATTTTTTTTTTGTTATATTTAAGGGTGGGTGAAGGTGGGTCACTTACCATGTCACTTAGGTTCCCCCTAAGAACCACCAAAACGGTTCTGAGTGATTCTCAACAACTTTTTCAGTTGATCGATATTGCCGATTGCAAGTTTTAAAATTGACACAGTGTATAATTAATTTACTAGTAAAATATTATTTGCAGTTCTGTGCAATAAATATACTTGTTGACATCAAATTATAAAAGAGTTTCTGGTATTTACAGCATTAAAATGAATGTTTATTTTTTTCTGTTCATCCAGTAAAGTTATTATCAAGCACTTTAATGTCACATTAATTATATAATTCCTAAAACTCAGTGCAAAGATATTATCGTCTGCTAAAGGTAAAATTTGTTCTGTTTGACTCGCATCTAGAGCTATTAAATTAATTAATTAATCGGAGGTGCAATGAAATAGCTTTGTATCATTATTATAAAAGTAAAACTTAAATGTAGTACTTTAAATGCATAGTCAGCTCTGACTTTAGTTATTATTATTATACATATAATTGTTATTCCAAGAATTATTGCAGCATCGTGTTTATATTTAGCATCTTTCTAGCTGTAACTGAAGTGAAATAAAGTATATCCTACATGTGGTTCCAAAAATTAGAAATTATAGATTATATTTCACTTCCTACATAAGAATATACGAAAAAAATTTCCATTTTGGTATTTTCGCTGCCAATTCATGTTGTACTTGTAAACACAGAAGATAAGTAAAACATTAATATTCCTACTTCTATCAAAGTTGTATTTCCCCATTAAAAACCACAAAATATAAAAGGTACAAATTCTCTGTGACAACCACATCACAATACTCACAATAGAAAGCGCAAGGCGCATGAAGAGCATCGATTTGAACTAACTTAATAAATAAATGCAAATCTGAATTAACCAATTTTGCTACATTTATGAAATAAGCTAAAATAAAAAGTGATTGGCTTCTCACGTTATAATGGCCGACCTCAAACGAACCAATCACATCAATGTATTTTTTCAATAAATTAAAAAATCTAAACTGAATGGTTTTTTACATTATTATAATATAGCCCAATAGCAATGCTTACAACTTTTACGACAACCCTTACTTTAATTCATTAAAGGTTTTTTGTTCTAAGTAACAAAGTGTTCGAAAATATCTCGAAAGCGAAAACACTGTCTTGTGTTTAGTCTAAAAATCGGTTAGGGTTTTTATTATAAATGACTCACCTTGGTATGTTCAGTTTAAAAAATCAGGTCAATAAACAATGGGATTGAACACAATATAATGCCACGAAAATGGTGGATGCGCCGGGCTAAATAGTATAATTTTCCAGAAATCCAGAATTTATTCTCACTACGAATATTTTTCATAGCAATGATAATATTACAATAGTTAAACTGACATTATGTGTGCAATAATATTATCTACATTCTCCGGATTTCTTAAATAATTTAATTATTGCCAACACATAGTTTTGAATAATGACTTTTTATTAAGTAAGCCTTTCTTTGTTTTCTGTATAATTTTCTCATTTAAAGCAGATTTGGTCTGCTTTAGCCTATTCCATTATGAAAACGTTAACCACCGACAAAGCATTAAATGTTTGTAATGTAACTTTTCAACCTTTAACTAAAACCGGAATGTTCTTTTGGCTTCACTAAAATTCCAACAACTAATTAGTTTCATTATTAAACGCAGACCAAGTTATTTATCATGGGGAAAAGCAATCTCTGAAATCTGGTACTTGAAATTTATCGTCCATTGTGAACCATTAACTTACGATAGATTAATTCCCTCGCAATTACACGTAATTGCAATTACCTTAATTTTACCTGTGCACTTATTGTACCAAGTTCAATGTAAATTGTAAAGTACAAATTCCGTGACAAATATAAAAGTACGCTAATGGGCCACTTGGTGGTAACTTGAAATCAGAAACGGCATTTTAGTTGCCGGCGTAGTTTTCATTCATGTCTGACATGTCGTTATTACATTTTCTACATTGTACCCTACTAAACGAACAAGAAAGAAAATCATTTCACCAAGCTGGAATGATAAAAATTCAATACATACAGGCTGTCCCAGAGCTCCGTATTTCTTCGATTACTTTGATAGTAAAGAAGATAACGAAATGCGTTTTTTTTTTGGACGATAGACATTCGTTTTTTCTATGGTCCAAAAATATTTTCGTTATTATAGGTAATTTCTATATAGGGTGGCGCAACAAAGTTATATTTTTTCTTATGGAACACCTGGTATATTATACGCTTATTTGAAAGAGTTTTTAATTCTATGAATATACATATTAGGTTTTATGGGTCTATCATGAACCGTTTATCATTTGTGGGCAATTTTATGAGAAAAAATTACCATTTTTGAAAAATCACAACAGCTTTGCTAGAAAGAAAAAGTGAATAAAAACAGTTGCAACCATTTTTACTAAGTCTGGTCCTAAGTTATTATGGTAGAAATTCAATAAATCTTTGCAATTACTGCAGAGTATTGACATTAGTAAAATGTAAATTATCTTGATTTTTTCAAATGAAACACCCTGTATATTATTACTTTATCGTGTAGAGCTTTTAATAAGCTTTCTAAAAAACCTAGGGTTTGGAGTTCTAAATCTTACCTATTTTATTGTACACCTTTTTAAACCTACAAAATTTTAAATTATTCTATTTAGCGTTAAAAATCAAGTAGGTTTGCGTTATTTCCTCTTCTAAAAAAATTGGATAATTTTTTAAAGTTACGTTATCACCATACATCAATTAAGAAAACAGGTTGTTTATTGAAATACTGAGTAAAACTCAAGAAACGCTAATTGGAATTTGAATTCAATGCAACACCTTGATTATAAAAATTTCAAAATTTAATTAATTCTATAGCAAATATTCAAAAATCCTGCCATTCCTCGTCAGACAGACGTMTAGTCTACGCATAAAGAAAAGTTTGATTGCCCTCAGCATTTCAACAGAGATGTTATTAAAGACTTCAATTATTCTTTTTTCCATGTCATTTGGAGTGGTGGTTCTTGTTCGATACACCTTCTTTTCAACACACYCCGATAAAAAGAAATCAATTGTAGTAAAATCTGGAGWTTGCGGTGGCCAGACAATAGTTCTCCCCTCCTAATYTAACGATTACGAAATCTGTTGCTAAAAATTGTCACACAATTCGACAAAAATGAACAGGAGCTTCATCATGCTGTAGTTAAATAATTCTACATTCTCTAACAAACTTTATTGATGTATGGTGATAACGTAACTTTARAAAAWTAACTTTTTTAGGAGAGGAAGTAACGCAAACCTACTTGATTTTTGAGGCTAAATAGAATAARTTAAAATTGGTATGTTTCAAGGGTGTACAATAAAACAGGTAAAGTTTARACCTCCAAACCCTARGTTTTTTAGAAAGCWTAWTAAAAGCTCTACACGATAAAGTAATAATATACAGGGTGTTTCATTTGAAAAAATCAAGTTACTTGATATTTTGCGAATGTCAACACTCTGCAGTAGTTGCAAAAGATTGATAGAATTTTAACCATAATAATTTAGAACCTGACTTTAAAATGGTTGCAATTGTTTTTATTCACTTTTTCTTTCTAGCAAAGCTGTTGTGATTTTTCAAAAATGGTACTTTTTTCTCATAAAATTGCCCATAAATGATAAACGGTCCATGATAGACCCATAAAACCTAATATGGATATTCTTAGAATTAAAAATTCTTTCAAATAAGCGCATAATATACCGGGTGTTCCATAAGAAAAAATATAACTTTGTTGCGCCACCCTATATAGGAAGTACTTACAATGACGAAAATATTTTTGGACCATAGAAAAAATGAATGTCTATCGTTAAAAAAAACGCATTTCGTTATCTTCTTTACTGTCAGAGTAATCGAAGAAATACGGAGTTCTGGGACAGCCTGTATGTGTTTCATTTCAAGAAAAATAGTTTGAATTACATGTCTTTGTAGTATATAAAATTTTCGGATATTTATTAAGTCAAGTTGTTAAAATTTGATTCTTAAATGTATATTTTTCTTAATAACTCATATTGGGCAAATTTATTTGGTCCAATATAAGTGTTCCTCGAAATTTATCTCAATTTCTATTTTAATTATTTAATAACCAAGACAATTGCTTGTAGACCAGAAGTCAAATTACGAATATTTCAAATAAATAGAAAGTGACAGATTTTCAAAAAATATTTTTTTCGGGCGCAATACAACTTAATTGGGCATTCTTATCCTAACAAACTCAGAACTAATTGCTCCATTTACATAAATTCTCTTCTAATTGGCTTCCACGCTGGTCTGAGCGACGATAATAAAATTATCATCTTCACAGGTTGAAGGTGTTAGCGCAAATTGTGATTATAAAAGCAACTTGTGTTTGCACTTACCTCGTGCATAACAAACCAGGCATAACAAAGACTTATAGGCCAAAGGGGCTTGTAGTGGTTCCCAAAGGAGTACATGTAGATAAGCCAAGGAGCCGGTATTAAAACCGTGAACATATCACAAAGAGCCATCGCCATCAAAACGACGTTTGTAGGAGTCCTCATCTGCCTTTTGCTTAGTACAACGACGATTAAAGTATTCGCGATAATGGTTATTATCAATAAGAACGGCATAACGTAGCCATATAAGGGCACGGCGTAGGCTATAGGCATTTCCATCGTGATGTTAATGTACTGGATTTTGTCCACTGAAGTAACATTTGGTACAGTTTCGTTCGTGTAAGTCTGATTCGGAAAAATCAGCGTCGAGTTCGACGCCATCTCGCCCATTTTAATCTCTTCAAACACAAATTGCCATTTTCTTATAATTTTCACAACAAAGTTTCATAATGATACTTAAGAAACTAATTTCGAAAATGATAAATTCGATTAGAAGTGAAAAATTGCATTTTCAACTACCACTCAGCAAAATTAATTCAATTAGTCCTTTAATTGGCATTGTTGATTATCTTCAGACTCAATTTAAATTCACTGATGTTCTCTCCGGAGTCACTCCCTTTGTTAAATCTGAAACAAAAAATCAGATTTCAAATGTTTTGCTGATAAGAAAAAAAGACCCAAACTTACAAGCCTCGCTAGCAACTCGAAACTTTTGCTGTACTGAGCTGAATTTTAGATCTTTCATAGTAATGGGAATTGGAAGTGTAACTAAAGCACGTTTCGAAGATTATTTACCTTCGGTTGGATTTGTTTTCCATGCCAATTCAGTCCGATGCGCTACCAAAACGGTTTATTCCGTTTTGCAATCACACTCGTGACAATAAACTTTTTAGTTGCATTTGAAAACGTAGGCGTAAAAGCATTCTTTATGGAGAACATTCCAGATTAATTTGTACTACGCATGTTTAAACTTTGACAGGTGGATACATTTAAATTGTTTGAATTAGTGGACGATATGAACCTAGGCATGACTCTAACGAATTAATCATTGTTATAGATGTTTCTCTAGTTTAAAGGTTATCAGATGGCCAGTTTCGAATAAGTGTGTTTTATGTGTGTTTTACCATAAATTTAACTTTTGTGCAAAGACATCATTTACTTTTAAAGCACGTAAGAAATGTTGATCTGATAAAAGTTTATTTATATGGTTACACATAGTTAAGTAATAAGTTTATTTTATGTTGATTTCTTCTATTTTTCATGGTTTTAAAATGTTTCCAGCTTCACTCATTTTAATCCTTTCTAGAGCACTTACAGAGTCAGAAAATAGAAATTTTAATTAAACATAATTTTCTTGGTTAATGAAGAAATTGTGACTACTCGTATTTCTTTGTAATTATAAATTAAAAATAACTACGAGTACTGCAGTAAAATAATTAAAAAAGTTATTCCTTTAAATTCTTTTGATTTTCACCTTAGGTATAGAGTTTGTTTAAAGGTTTTAGTCTCAGTCTAAGCAAAAATGTATGTGTGAATTTATTATATTAATTGACTTGCAATCGAGTTAACGGGGTTGTAAAATATGTAAATTGCGTATCAATATTCTACAACTAAAACGAAGCTCGCAACTAGAAATGCCATAAATTTCAACTATCGATTTTACGTTTTGCGTGTTTAGGAACTGTTTCTTTTAAAAGTAGTTGTAGTTAAATTATAAAAGAGGTAGAATTTACAAAACGTCTTACTTTTGTGGATAAATCCAGACACATTGTGCTCAAAGTTATCTATTAGTCTGCAGCATCGTATAAATCTCTATGATACAAACCCGCTTCTTCCATCTCGGCTGAATACTTTTCTACGAGATCTCGATTCTGCGTCGGAGAACGAACTGTATGTTGATCTTTTATCAAAGCTTTATTTTTGTTCAATGTTTTGTTAAAAAAAAATTGTTGTCGAATATACTACCCATTGTAATGGAAAAATATCCACATAAATAATGATTTGTAAGTTTGTAATCATTTTTATTAAACCTCTAACATACAGAGTGTCCATTTTATCTGTTCCCGCTTGAATTATTTTGTGTAAAGTATTAACTATTCTAAATTGAATTATTATAGTCGGTGCTTGACTATCGAAAACTTCAAAAATATTAAATTCAAAACTCAAATGTATAATAATGGGAACAACAGCAAGAAATTAACAAATTATTGTATTATTGGTTGTCTATTTATGAAATTTAAGGAGGGAACTGATAAAGTGGACACCCTGTATATCTAACGTATATTGTGAAATTACTAAAAAAAATATTTCTTACGTAACAATTTATTACAAAAAATTGATCATAAATTATATCAATAAAAATTAATTTCTTTTTCGAGTTTTGTAGACAACCTACGAGTACCCTAAAGAATTTTCGTGCAGAAATTTCTTCGTTGTTAAATAACAACTGTCTAAAGCAAATTGTTGTAATATTAATTGATGATAACTTGAAAACTAAAAAATAACAGTATTTTTCAAATAACCTATTGTGTGTAATAACAACTTACAGATTTATTTTAATAGATTATAATTTATTATAATAAGTTAATGAAATCTGCATTAAAACACTGTTTAAAAATAGTAAACTTGTTAGAATAACACAATAATTATTCATTTATCTGAAAATCCATTGTATGTCGATGACACCAGCTTTGTTTTAACAAGTCGACTCGAAAATATACGCAATATGATAAATTACTCTCTCAAACAAGTTAAACGTTTATTGTGAATAAATTGTGTACCAACAAAAATTGAGCAAAATGGCAAAAACTAAACTGGTAATATGTAGATTTCGAGATATATTATTATTTGTTAAGAATTCTACCCCACCTTTAGTGTAAGAGGTTAGGGGGTGGTTTGGCCCGACCAGGGCCCACAGTTGGACAACTTGTTAGTCTTAAGTTAGTCTTAAATAAGCTTTGTTGATAGATAGTAGCAGCCGACACAATAAAGGTGTTGTTAACAAATCGTGTTTTTTACTGACAAAAATATACAGTCCACAATTTACGTAACATTATTTATAATACTTTTATTTTATTCATACTTCATGACATACAAAATGTTTTAAAATTTGTGCATTCTCCGTATGTTATAAGCAAATTATTAAAAAATAATTTCACTTTCTTGCTCCGAAATGAGTATTATAAATGAAAACAATTTGTATTAAGATGTTGAATTGAATTTTCACTATAACTAGGTATACTCGTTCTTTTTGCTTTTTGTGCAAAAATTTTATAATCTCTTTAATCGCTAATGAACATTATTACTTAAAAAATTAAGTATTACTTAATAAGTATTATAATGTGCTCAGTATTTTTAATGCTGCTGTGCAGAGACAAAAGATATTTCAGTCAAAATAACGTGGTTTTACAATACATACCCGTGACAAAAGTCATTTAAGAAAAATTTTGCGTAACATAATTTTTCAGCAAACTACCTAATAACCTGTATAGTCTTGAATAAATTTAGTTCCCTAAATCAATAATCAAAAAGCATGCCATTGCAATACCTACAGAACAGCAAACATAAAACATAAAATTTAATCGCACAATATGGCAGTAAATTTTATTTGGGATCTATGCAGTAAAAAGCAGTTTCCGTTTAAATTACAAACCCAACAACCACATTCAGTATTCGGTGATATACTAATTTGTAAATCCACCCGGTACCTAATTGAAACATTTCAGATTGTAATGATTAGTTTTTGCATAATGACAATGTCTTTCCTATTTGACGCAAATTTCGCCCATGTGACTCCAATATTGTAGACAATTACGTCCTAATCTATTCCAGTGGACGTTAGCTCGACTAATAGTGATGACACCGAATCCCTTGCATCCGAATTATTTTCCGTTCGTTTAAAATGCAAAGTGTGTTAAGTTGGACCCCCATAATTTTCACGGTTTACAACTGTGAACTGATGCAAATGTGTCTAAATAATTAAACTGGTTACTCCTCAACGTGAACATCGGCAAAGACGTGTTAATTATGTAATTAGAATTAGAGAGCTTATAATTTACCGCAAGTATACATGAACTTCCGATGAATCTTATATATGAGGTGTCGGAGATCTTGTTTGAATCTACAGCGGATAAGATAAATTACTTGTTCGTTTCACGAAGAAATGGACCAAACGAAAATGGCAAAAGGACAACGAGAGAAAGATACCAGAAACCATTTATTCTTGATGTAGGTAAGATGGGATTATTTATTTATGGTTCTCGGTATTCTAATGGATCTCGTGTTATTCGAGACGTTTGTGACAACTTTTGGTTTTGTATTAACTATTCAAATGCATGCACATGCACTTTAGATCAAACCAAAAAAGTGTTTCAAGAAATATACCAAGCAAAAACAAATTGAGTGCAGTTGTGTTGAAAATCGCAATTTATTACAAACGTTAAAAAATTGGATTCTAGGTTCATTGTTCACGCATTATTGAAAAATTAAATATTGGTATACTATTTTATAAAGACTTACTTTTCAAAGAAAAGCAATCGGTGGTTCATAATCTTGTCAATTAATGCGTTTGTAGTTGAAGGTTCAAACACTTAGAATTCTTAAAAAAATAAAATTTATAAAACATTGAATACTTTTCTATAATAATTTGAGAAACTTATTAAAAAAAATATATAACAATTCTTATAATTTTTTTGTACACGCTCCGGAAAATAGCTGTTTTAGGGACTCATTTGAGTCCCTAAAATGAGTCTTTTCCGGAATCGATAAAATAGTACGTAAAATAGTTATTTTAGGTACTCGGTACCCTTTTTCCGGACGAAAAAAGTCAAACTGATTACTATGGTGGGGACTTTTTTTTAATTAATAAGAGGTGTGAACTTGTTTTTTAGGAGCTTTTACAAAAATGTTGTTTGAAATACGTATATACCTAAAACGTTTTTAGGGACTCATCTGCTATTCCAATTCGGCTTCGTGTCGTCCAGAAACAGCGACGATTCGTTCGCAAAAATGGTATTTTAGATACTTGTAACAAAAATAACTATTAGAATTTTAAAAGTCACTTTATGAAAAACAAAATTTTGTCATTTATTTTTTGACATTTGACATTTTTTATGTTTATTTAATGATATTAATGATCTTGTATATGTTTTTTTTATAATTATTTAGTAGAGGTAAAAAAAATTGCCAATAAAAGCTACAAATAACATTAAACAGAGTTACAATTTAGGATACAGCTTCCTTGTTTCTTCTTCTAAATAGCCTGTAGCGAAAAAACATGGAAATTTATTTTTCCAACAGAAATAAATAGAGTCAAAGAGTAAACTTTAAACCCTCATTAACTTTGAATTTTTTATAGATAATTTTTTTTAACAGTTTTTCCATGTTCCTGGTATCTTACTTTACATAGCATTTTTCTCTGGGGCGCGAGTTCTGGCGCACACTGTATATGTAGGGCCCAAAATGCAAAAACAACGAGAATTTTTTTTTATTCAATCCTCTATGTTAAAATTGAATTTTATCTACTCTTCTCTTCATGTTAAAATGAAATTTTATCGTCTAGATGAAAAAAAAATATTGTTGTATACCTGCGGTTGTTAGTTGCTAACGATCTTTGACATTATATTTCA